ATTTCAGCCAGGGTAAACCCTTGCAGCATCGATGCTTGCAAAATCTTTGGCGCCAGAAGGCACGAAGGGAAAACGGGAGCGTATTTTTTGCAAAAGGTCAAAACGCGAAATTCCGAGCAAAAAACCAGAGGATTTGGCAAACCCGGCATTCCATCGGAAAAATGGCAGCCTCGGAACCCCAAATTCTGAATTCAGTGCTGATTCTGCATTCTGCACAACTGGAGGATCTGTCAAGAAATTCGTTTATCGAGTTCGAGAAGCGAAAAGTGTGCCAAAAAATGGTCAAATTGACATGCGAATTAAATTGAATTAACGTGGTACCATCACTTGGTTAGTGGTAATGAGAATGGCAATAATTTGAGCCTTTCTCCCGCGAATTTCGTCAAAACATTGCCAATTTGAGAAATTGCAAAATTTTTCCCTACTTGCAGGTTGGAACCAGGAACCTGGAAGTGGAATGCCTCTGCCCCGGGTGCGCCGAGGGTGCTCCTCTCCGCCCGGGTTCACTTCCGCTGGGTGGATGTCGGACCACCCTCCTGGATTCCCAGGTCGGTCCCGTAGGGAGGGCCAAACGAATATTCGCGATCGGCGTCTTAAACAGAATGGTTTACAGAAATTTACTTCGAATTTTAGCTACTAAGCGAACTTCATGAAAAAAATTCTGTTCGCCACACCCCATTATTTATGGCTAGAAAAAAAACATATAATATATAATAATGTATATATTCAATTATATTTTTATGCAACGCCAGCACTCCACTCAACTCATGAAAGAGGATTTCCTCTCGTCCAGATGTTGCAATTATGCTTGCAGGCTGTCTGACTTGATTATCCAACAATTCCAGGAAGCGGCTGTTTCTTAAGTGACTCTCGCAGACATCAAACGGAATGGCTGACAGTCGCTGCGTGCGGAGAGTCGGTTCGGCTCTAAATTGCGAGGCTGGTTCATGTAATTCCCGCGTAAATTCCGGAACCAATTTGTTCAGTCCTGAAAATGGTACTCATTTCAAGTCAATTTAAGATTTCGTCATTCTATATTTTATATATTATACGTTCATATATTACATAACTTCTCATTTTACGCTTCATACTTAATATTATTACATTTTATATATTTTCTTACATATGCATAATTTATTTCCATTCCGGACAGGCGCTGGACCTATGCACGTTGGTTCTGGCTGGGCTGGGACTATCCCTGGAGTCGGGATTACCCGGGTGCTCCTATGAGTTACACCCGCGCCATGGGGCTCCTCGCCCTCTTCGTCCTCCCTGGACTCCTCCTCTTCGCTCGGTTTTACGATTGACAAACGCGGGGAGGTGAGCACAGATTTTTAAAACAAATATATATGCTAGTGAATTTTTTTGCATGCCATTGCATTATCTGATGTGAACGATTACAAGTTCTTTTTCCAACTTTGTCCAGTGAATTGCCTTCAACGGCAAAAATTCTTGAGTCATTGAAAATCAATTAAAATAATGTAGAAACAGAAATGTAGAAAAAAAATAATGTAGAAACAGTTTATGAAACTTTCTAACTTGCTCCCAACGAATTTGATCCATTCATGATTATCGGTCGTGAATAATTTTTTTTCCAGTCATTGTGGAATAAATATTGGTTTCATGAGCAAAAAAAAATCACAAAATATCAGAAAGACCAGCTGTTTATTTCCTAAAGCCCCATAAGGGAAAACTGGGAAGAATTGCATACAATTCTCAATAAAAGGTAACTATAAAAAATCACTGAAAGCTCGAGGACTGCACGATCGCAAGCAACTCCACATTCGAAGCGTCATTCGCTCTTTACTGCCAAGAAGTATTTCTGAAGTGCCTAGAATGTACAATTTACACAAGAACCATGAGGCTGGCCAGATTTTTCTGCGCTGTTAGAACGAATTCAGCACATAGCACTTCATGATCTTGATGGGATCCTTGGCAATAAAACATCATTCAACATTTGCCTGCCAAAATGGCCTAGGATAAGATGAAGGCCTCTATTTAATTGCATTCATTTAAGGCAATATGACAACATCTGCCAGACCAGATCTTTCTCAATGGTATCAGACACCATCACAAACGAAGATGGGGCCTTTTCAGCTTCTCAAACTTCAATTGTTTTCGCCAAAAAGTTCCTCATGCTCAATGCTTCGTTCTTTCTTCATGACTAAGTTTTTAGAACAGGTCAAAATGAACAAAAAGGTTGATATCTAGGTGATGATGAACCAATCTATTGTGCGAATTTTTATCTTCTTAAATAATGCTCTCATACAATATAATACAAGACCTACGAAAAAGTAGGTATTAGTAAGTACTCAGCACGCTGTATCAATATTTCCTTGTAGCAATGCAAAGATGCATGAAGGCTGAAGGCCTACTCTCTGAACTTAGCAAAAAAAATTTTTTTTCCTGCAATAGAATTTACATTATGGCACTCAAGTCCTGACAGAACTCTCTCTGGCCATCCTCAAAGGATGAAAAAAATTTACAGGGATGTCAGCAGGGTGGAGACAATTTATCTCTTCATTAGCATATAAATTCAATGAATAAAAGTTGAAACTTTTCAACTTTCACTCAACTTGCTGCCTGACCATCCATGGCCTGGGAAAGGGCCTCAAGGAATCATTTTCCTTTATTTCAATTTAATTACCTGCAAGTAAATTATTTTCCTCCAGATCTCTGCAATGAAAAAAATGGTATGCAAAAAAAAAAATTTTTGAAATAGAAAATATGAAATATGAAGCTGAAAAGCTGTAACATTATCTGGAAAACACAGCTAATTAAATGTGCAGAGAATTTTTTAAAATTTCTCATGACAACCTATCTTGACTTGCAATAATTCATAGGTGGATTTGATAGCCACTGAGATTCATTCCTTGCACTAAGACAGATTCTTGAGGAATGTTGAATGAGATTCTTATCAGATGAATTAAAATAGATCTTTTGACAGAATTTATGCAATTCTGTCCTATTTTCTGCTTGGATCAAGCAAGAGAATCCAGTTCTGATAAGAGAATACAGATTTTGGAGGGCATTAAGACGGCTGGAAGAACGCTGAATGACGGACGGCACATCAGTTGAGGGCCTCAATGAGCTCCTGGAACCCATAGACAAACCACTTGGACCCTGCCTTTACCTGCTCTCGCACCACACAACCCCCAAAACCTGAAAAAAGAGACAGGCATAAATTTTTAAGGGGTATCAAGAAGTTCCACATTTTTTAGCAAGCCGATGGGAATACAAGGCAAGTGTTCAATGGGTACCAAGAAGGGGCTGATGTCTAGTGACACTCAGGAGGTTCTTACCTCTTCCTTCTCCTTTTCAAAATGTAATCTAAATGGTCATGCCAAGGAGTACTCTGCCACATTATTGCAGGCTTCTTTAACCAAGAGAACCACTTGAGAATGATTTAATTCTTTGCTACTTTCCCCCTAAAATGCATGCTATAATTATATTAATATATATATTTTCTAGAATTTAGTTATAATTTGAAAAATGTAGGATATACAGTTTCCAATGCTATAAAGTTGCTCATGGAAAACAGGTTAGTCCTATTTTAATTGTTTGCACATTTTAAGTCTCCTTTGCTTCCACTGTCAAAGAGTATGACTGCATATTAATGTCATCCATAAAGAATTGTCATGGAATGCAAACAACAGACCTGCTTTACACAAAAAGGAAATCCATCCAGGCAATTAGTTTAAGTAAGCACCAATTGCAGCAGTGGGAACAGCCCACCCAGCCTGACTCAATCACATAGCCAATTTCTTGCAATTAAACTCAATGCCCCTGACTTGGATTCCAAAGGAGGAAAAAAATATCAGGATACAGGCTTGCATACCAATGAAGGCATCAGCTGGGGGGCAGGCCTCCATGTCAGTGGCCCCATCCCCAATCATCACCAAGCAGGAGTAGTTATATTTCTCTTTGAGGCGACCCACAACAAGTCCCTTCCCTCCCGACGCCGATGTTGGCTGCTCCTCGTCGAACCCTGCGTATGTCCCTATGGAGGATCAAAAACAAAGGGTTGCAAAATGGTCTGAATTCGAAAGGGAAATCAGAGGGGCACAGGATTTAGACCAGCTAGAAAAAGATAACATTTTCAGATAAATATCTGGCAAAAAGAATAGATTTAAATGAAGTAGGAATAAAATCCTTGGAATAAGGCAAAACCACCAAAGTTCTGATAGTTAGACCTTGTAATTTGTTCATCATACATAAGTGGTACAACCTGGATACTTAATTTTTGGCAACTGGGACCAAGATATGAGCATGAATGAGTGATATACAGATGTTGTTCTTCAAAAACCTTATTGTTTTCAATAGTGCCTATTATGTGGTTGTCCACTATTTTTAATTGCAGGGCAAAGAGTTCTTTTCATTAAGAGGAATGAGCAATATATATGGCAGTTCAAGAAGGTCTGTGAAAATTTATCATTATCTCAGGGCAATTTCATAGCTCAATTTGCAGATATTACCTATATACTACCCTCATGCTGTCCATAACTGTTTCATGCAAACAATACTTATTCCATACTATAAATGGGTGACTATGATATTTATTTGAAGTAATTTCAGGACTCTTAACACTTCCAATTTAAGGTAGTTAGGAATATTGATTCCATTGATCCCAGCAGAAAGTCCTCCAACCCCCTTTTCTAACTCCCCAATGCTGACTATTCAATTTGGTGGACTCAAGTCACATGCCCATGTCATGCTGAATGGCATGGAGTGACCTTTCTTTTGGCCATCAAACAAACACAGGGTTGTCCCCAAAAAGTATCACTCAAAGAAAAGGAAAAAAGAAAAGCTGTTTGTCTTAGTCTTCCTGAAATGCTAAAAAATGCAGCAGACTACCCAATTAAATAACACATCTTGAAAATAACAAAATCTAGTTTTCCATAGCAAGAAAGAAAAAGCCATGCACAGCCAGAATATAAAAATCTCACAGGAATCCAGTATTGTGTAGTCCATCAACAAGGCATGCTAGCAAATCTAACTGTATTTGTACAGTTTCTCTAGGAACTCCTTGGAAGAGCCTTGCACACAATCTGTATTTTATATTTTCATTTCTCTATTTGGTGTGACTGCTGAAATACCCCATAGGCCCTCTTGAATGAGTGCTGCATTAAACCTTTAAGGCCATGAAACTCGAAGGCCTGCCCAAGAAAATGCAATATGCATGCAAAAAAAATCCAGAGACTGCCTACTTCACAGGCAGAGCAGAGACAGATCACACAGTATAGATGGAGATGAGAACACCACCGTCAAAGTAGAATTTGAGCCGATTGGCAAAGACGTTCTCCATGGGGACGTCCAGCTCCTGTGCGACCGGTGCAATGAGGCTCTGGAAGCCACCCGACACCAGGTAGACCTGGACCCCGCGCTTGTGAAGCTTGCTCACCAGCTCTCTATCAAAAGCATTCAAAAACAATGCTCAAAATCATGTGCAACTTCTGGATTGCTCATTCTGGGGATATGCAAACTTGAGTAAACTTTGCAGCCACTTTGCACATGATGTATTAGAAAATGTCATGTTAATTAACAGTCTGAGCCTCATCACCATGCAAGCATTCACTGCAGTAAATCAAGCTTATTATCATGAGATAATAATTTTAGGGCCTACAAGCGAAAATAAGACAATAAGTTAAGCTGTTTGCATAACCTGGACACAATCACAAAGGAAGGGCTTACCTAATCCCAGGTGTGAGGGAGTGTGGTCGATCCTTAACAAAGCGTGCCACGGCTTCCCGCGATGGCCGGATGATGTCGAGTCGCAGTTTCAGGGCATCGCGGAACTCCATCTTCCCTCCCATTGCTTCTATGGTCCTATAAGAAAGTTAGCTTTTAAATATATATTGGAAGAACTTACTTTAAGTGAATTTCTTCTACAAACTGATTCTACCTTTGCAGATACCACTGTGCACATATGCATTGGCAAAACTTTCACCACTCTTAGAGGAGGTGATACTTTTCAAACTTCAAATTTTCATTACTCACACTTCAGAAACTTGACACCAATATGATTTTTCCAAAAGTTTCAGGAAACAATTTTGAAGGCATGCTATGTAACTGAACTTTTCCATCGCACACCGAATTGGCTGGAAGCAAACTCACACGCGCTGCACCTGCTCCTTCTTGCCGCAGAACGTGGCGAGTTCGTCGATGGCCTCCGTCGGGCAGACGGTGGAGTCAACGTCGAAGCAGACGGCGTCGGCGTGCCGCCACATCAGCTTCGTTTCCTCCCTGGCGGGGTTGCTGCCGCCTTTGGTGGGTTTTGCGGGGTTGGCACCTGCACCGGTCGGGACGTTGGGTTTAGACACGACGGGTGTCTTTGTCGCGTCCCGCGGGGCGCCCTTTCGGGTGGCTCCTTCCACATGCACCATCGTGCCTGCAGGCCTGAATCGTTCCAAAATGATTCGTTACTGGGATGCATGACTCTGAGGGTCATAACTAAATGTAGGTCATTGAATTGTTGGTTGGCTGAGCCAGATGGTGATGGGGAGACATATCATTCAGACACCCTGCCATGAGCATAGGCTAGAACATTTACAGATACCTCTTACTCTATTAATATGTTTAATGCACTTGTGGCCAAAAAGGAAGCAGAGAAATCAGAGAATGTTTACTTGCATTCTCAGCTGAATTACATATCACATCTGTTACATAAGATTCTGAATAGAAACAAAGAAAAAGGCAGTCTGATGCCTCCACTAATTCAAGAACCTATGAATTTTTGAAGCCTAGATCCTGGTACTTGATTCCCTGTTCTTCTGAATGAATGGCTGAAGCTACAAAACCTGTAATAATGTTTTTATCCAAGTAGGGTAATTACATAATAAAGTATATTAACACAGCTCCTTTAAACCCTGGCTTCATATCAGAACTAGGCCTAGAACAATCCCCACACTGAAGATCACCATGTATAAGCCTATCCAAATTCTAACGTTAAGCCTTGGCTACTAAGAGCGCGCCTACTAGTCTGGCCCAAGGACGGCCACGGAAGTGAGAACCGCAGGCAAAGAAACGGGCCTAGGCCTAGACCTAAGGTGAGGCTACTACTCGTTGCATCGATCGCCCACGCGCTGCTCACGCACCCGACACGTGATCGTCTGCGGGCGGGCCGCAATGAGGCCGACGGGAGCAGGGACGAGAGAAGGGGAAAGTGAGCCGAGACAGGAAATGAGGTCGAGTCGAGGGACGGAGCATTCGCGGACCCGTTAAGGACCAGGCAGAACCAGTTCCGAAGTCTCGACTGGAACGGCCTGGCCATCTGATCGCGGTTGCAGCACGTGCTGCGGGGACAGGGATGCGAGATCCCAGGCTTTCGCGATGTCTGGCTTTTCTTGAACCCGTGCTGGGGAGAGATTTCATTTCATCATTTTTGAGCTCTTAACCCTTTCGTGCATGAATTTTTAAAGCAAAATAAAAATATGCCCTTTATGGTTTAACGTTTTAGGAGGTACTCTGCCATAGTAGTCGAATGTTCTACTGCTAGAAAGAGACACTGAACAGATTATGTGCCCTTGAGTTGACTGCACACACTAATAGTTTCGAGGTATGAGTACCATAGCTGAAAACTTATAATTGTCGCCAAAAATTTTGCCGTCCACTACAGTGGACACCATGCACGAAAGGGTTAAAATATGTCATACGGTCCTTTAGTCATGAAAGCTACGTTATGCAGAAAGCTGACTAATTTTTATCATAATGCGAAACTATCCCTACAGGTCCGTTCCCCAGGGATGCCTTCTTTTTTTATGGTTAATAACAGGGTCGGACTGGCGACCTAGGGCCCCCCCCGAGAAATTGCCGGCAAACGGCCCTCGCAGCCCCCCCCCTCTCCAAGAATACACATTATTTTTTCAGGTCTGCGGGGGGGGGGGGGGGGGGGGGCGTG